CTACATTAATAACCAGATACACTATCCATGAAGCAAGACCTGTGTGTGCTGTGTATATGGTTTAAGTACACTGTCCAGTTTCAGAGAGCTAACAATCTAAACATAATATGTGCCATTCCCTCACAACAGGAAAATACAGATGATAAACACAGAGAATGGATAAAAGAGAAAACAAGACTACCTTGGTCAGTCTGACTAACCATTAGCCTAAATACTATTTTGCTTACTTAAAAACTCATCCACTTTCTAACTTTAGGAGACACAGCAGAGTACCCTTTTTGTGTTCTGTAACACAAAGCCAAGCAGAATTCCAGAACAGTATATTTACAGCACGTATAAAATGACTGATCTAAAAATAAAACAACCCCTTTTATGAAGGATTAGCTTATTTCTCTTTCCTTCCTTCATTTGAGCAACTTCCCTCCTCATCAGTTTCTTACAATACACTTTCACATCACCTCCAATAACCCTGTATAAATCACGATCTTTCCTCATCTACAGCATCTGAAGTTCCCCATGCACTTTTTAAAACCTGGGATGACAACCCCAGATTTTAGCAGATGACTAACTGCTACTACTTCTCTTTTGACTTTATTTAGACAAGAGGTTCAGATGACAGCTTCCCACAGGCTTTCACAGAATCACAGAACAGCTGAGGTTGAAAAGAACCTCTGGAGGTTCAACCCCCTGCTCAGGCAGGGTAAAAGCTTTCAAAAGACAGTCAATGCCACCTGGTATCAAACCCACCCAATAGCATGTGCTTCCTCCACAGTAAGTAAACAACTCTTTTCTGGGAAGTTACATTTCCCCCACCCCTGAAACTAGGAGATGCACAGTGGTGGAATTATTTTATTTTGCGGATGGGAAGTTAACCAACAATTTCGTCTGTATTTCACATCCACACCCTGTTGCTCCAGAACTGGGTAACTACAGTGATTTGAACATAGATTTGGAAGCATATGTTTTTAATCTTTTTTTAATCCTTGTTTTATCCTCCATTTTTACCCTTCTTTGTTCAAACTGCTACATTTGCCTCTTTTTTAAAGTATTACAGCTTCTGGCTTTAGCACAGGAAGGTAATAACACCTTCTGAAAGAAGCAAAAGTAAAAACTCCCTTCTTGGTGTTACCATCTGCTTGCCCTGACAAGAGAAAATATATTCTTGACCTAATATAACAGTGCACATTGGCTAGAATCACAGCTACTTATGCAGGATTAAAATCTAATATGCAGTAACAACAACTATGATCTAAGGCAGTAAAAACTTGGATTGTTCAATATCTCGTTCCAAAAACATTCTCTTACTCTGTATTAGTGAGGCACAGCTCATTTCTATAAATCAGATATTGCCCTGTACTACATGTCCTAGCCATGCATAAGGACTGCCCTGCTCAGATCCTTCCCACCTCCTTCCCAAATATTTCCCTACAGACAGACGCCTGTTGATTGTGTGCACAACTGTGCAGGCAACACTACTGACATTTTATAAGGGACTGTATTAATTAAGCATTGTCATAGAAAGAACAAAGACTCTTAGCAATGTTTCCTACCTAAGGCAACGTGAAAGATTCCCTATCACATGCAAAATCAACATAACTTTTCTTGCCAGGAATAGAATCTACACTTGGTTTCCTCTACCAAAATCCAGCAATAATGCCCAACTTTGTAGCAGACCTTCACAACCAAGATTCCCTGTCTTCCACTAACAAGACAACGAAAACAAAGAATAGTGAGACAGAACATGACTGATATCCACATAAAACACATTGCCAAGGACTAAAAACTTACACCGTTCTATTACCATTGTATCATGCTTTAGGAAGCTTGCATTTGAAAGGAAAACAGAAGGATACAGACAAATAATTAACTTTGACAGAAAATAATAATCCATCTACTATTCCATTTTTGCTACTGAAGGGCAAATCTAAAATTACACATGGAATCTCCTATTCTAAAATAAACAGTAATATAACATCTGAGAGTAAAGCTGAAAGAAAGAAAACCATAAGAAAGTCCTAATAGTCCCAACCCCCATTCTCTCTTTGGATCTGCGTGCTCGAGCAGATGATGAAATTCTTCCCTCCTCCTTTTCCAAGATCAGTGAAAACTGTCAAACTCACAGGCCATAATGTTTCTTAATCTATAGGGGCCGGGAATATAAATTATATTTGCCTCAGGCTGGTCCAGCAGAGCACACTTTTTTGATTGTCACTGTCAGTTAAGAAAATATACTTACAATGGAGCTTCTATTTTTGACTAATAAACATGATCTGGTCCAATTTTTAACTGAATAATCCCATAACAGTAATATTTCATATCCTCAGTATGTCTATGTATTAGCTATTTTTCTCTTAAATTGATAACCAGCAAAACAGATTGCCAATCTAGCCAATCTCCAAAACACATTCAACAGTGACTCAATTCAGCTAGTTTGGATTATTATGATATAGAATTTGATCTTGCCAGCTTTTATATCCCTGACAGATACTAACCTGATCAATGGCAAATAAGCCTTAAAGAGCTTGCCTTCACTGGGGCATGCCAATATCCAAGAGCTACACCCACATGTTCAAGCTGAGGGAGGTTTAATGCAGATCTTGTTGGTTTGGCAAGGATTGCTGAGTGCTCACCCTCTGCTCACTTCATAGATCTGCCACTACTGAACTTGAACTGCTGAGACTCCATGTCCCAGTTCAACAACACTGATAATGTGCCAACTGACCAGTCAGCAAGGTATTGCATCACACAGCTGTGTTCTCTCTGGTGTTCAGCCTGTAGCTGGCACACAGTACAGCACTTTAATTTTATTTTCCTTTCTGGAAAAACTAAAAAGCAATACAGCAAAACACCATTCAAAACTACTTCTGGTGCTACTGCAGTTCAAGCTTTAGGATAACACCTATGTTTAAGTATTTATTCTAGAGCAGAAATTCAAGCCTGCTGTGCTGTAACTATAAGAAATAAAGAAAATAAAAATAAACCAAATCTCTTCCAGAATCTCAAGAACAAAACAGTTGGCAAAGAGCTCAGATAATTTCAAGGAACGATGGAATCACTATTTGTTTGCTTTCCTTTCAGTATATACTTTCCTTTCTCTGTGTGGTCATCAGACTTACACAGGTGAAATTTTTAGCAAGCTAGCGGGAGAACATACTAATCCAATTATGATGCTATAGGATTTTCTTAAGATTCCTGAAAGTTCTACTGGTCATGGATAGATGGCTAAATAATTGGGACTCTTTTTTTCCCACTTTTATTTCATTGAGAAAGCATGAAAGTGGCATTTTGATTGTGACATTTATTTTGCTTTATTCTTCCAGTGAAGAGACATGACAAAGGTTATGCTTTCAATAAACATCTGAAGAGAAAACAAGTAAGTTTTGCTTTCAGTATTAACTTAGTGTTGTGAGAGTACACACTGTATTTATACTGTTGACCAGCAAGCAATTTTGTCATAAAAAGCTTGGTATCATTTCCACTGCAACATTTCAAAAGTCACCCCAAGTTGTCACTAGTTTATCTGAATTCAATTTCATTTCCTTTCATTACCATCACCACTTCAGCACCTCATATTTTTTGTTAGGTATGTCTAAATTAACCACCAAATCATGAAAAAAAATTTATTTCTTTTATCATCACAGGGTCAGCATTTCACTCTGCAATCACTACACATTTCCTCCGTTTTCACTGTGGAACAGCCTAATGGTAGACCAGATAATGGGGAAAGCCCTCAGGCACTGTTACTATTATGAAATGCACTTTCATGCGTATCCTTTTTGAGGGAGACCCAGTTGATGCAGCAAATGCTGTAAGCTCTCCCTTTCTTTTCCATGTTGTGAAGTGGCTGGTCCCTAACTCCCAGTGCCTTTGCTGGTGGATCATAAAAAGGTCTTCAGGTTCCCCTTCCCATCAAATTCTCCAGGTGTGATTCAGCATTGCTTTGAAAAGGGAAGTTTCCAAATCAAAGCTTAAAGGACACACAGCTGAAAGCCCAATAAGCAGGATGCATTAGAAGGTCTACAAATCTTACTTCTTTATTAATGCAAATCAGCTACACCTGGCATACAGAGTCACTGGGTCAAAGACTGTAGTGGCTGATGTATTAAATACCTGAGGACAACCATCAAGTGCAAACTGACTGTGAACCTCACAGTGTGCACAACATAACCAATGCATTTGAAAAGCATGTAATGCTGAGCTTAAACTGTATTTTAAGACAGCATGTGAAAACATTGGGGAATTCTGCTCCTCATTCCAAGAATTATCATTCCTTACAAACAAGGGGCTTATGCTTCATTCTGAAACCAGTACTTCTGGCCCCATTTTGAGACAGTCAAGTGCTGCTCTGATCAGATTTACAAGGTCTACATAACTTTAGCAGCTAAGTCCCATTATCAAAAGCTACTTAGGAACAATTCTCAAATTCATCAGATTCTATAACATGCTTTTGGAAAGTCAGACCAGGTAGGTCTTATTACCCTCTTATTACCACGGACTCTGATCTCATTTGAAAATAGGACTTTACAGCTGTTAGTTTTAATATGCGGTAGGTTGTAAATACCTTTTTCACAGCACTGGGGCTTCCTCTCTGAAAGCTTACGCCACTGTGAGTCAACAATGACACTTAGAGACTTAAATTACAGGACGGCCCTCTGTTACAAATGGAAGGTAGCCAAGAACTTTACTACAGTTCTTGCAGATGAAAGGGGCACCTGCTGCTTAATTACCACTGGAGTCAACCCCTGCACATGCAGACAGCACTCCTCGGGGTTACTGGAGAGGTGGATGGTCCACTCTGGGAAAACGAGGCCTACTGCCCCTCAAAGCAGTGGGCAACCCATGCCACTTGCCCACAAGGGCTCTGTGGCTGCCAGTTTTCAGCAAGGCACCATCTCAGCTTTGATCCAGGCAGCGACAGGAAAGCTCGCCCCAGGGAGCGCCTGCACCCCACCACCATGTCCCACGGCCGCTTCTTGTCGGACTTTGCCATGCCCCCTCACCTTCCACCAGCTCGTCCAGGCTGGTGAGCTTCTTGCTGCCATCGATGGTGTAGATGGTGCGGACCCCTTGGGGCAGGTTCACGTTGTCCGACAGGGAGCGGGTGAGCTCCACCAGGAGGGCGTCGAAGGAGCGGAAGCGGTCGGGGGAGATGGCGTACACCAAGCCCTTGAAGTACCTGTCCCCGTTGCGGTAGAAGCGGGCTTTGCGCGCCTTCTTCTCCGAGCTGAGCGCCTGCAGGGTGCGGGTCCGGTAGAGGCTGCAGTGCGCGCTGTGCGCCGGGCTGGGCACCAGCCCATTGCCCCTCGGCCCCGCGCCGCCGCCGGACCCGGAGCCGCCGCGCCGCGGCCCGGAGCGCTGCTGCCGCTTGTCCCGCTCCTCGAAGTGCTCCAGCTCGATGCTCCGGTTGCTCGCCATGGGGAGGGAGCTGCCTGCCCGCCCCTCCCGGCTCTCCGCTACGGGCTGCTACGCCTGCCCCCAGCGCTCGAAAAGGCTCCGGCCGCCTAATTCAGCATCGCGCCCGGCCCCGCTCGCCGGGAGGGCTGCGGGTGAGCGCGGCGCCCGCAACCTGCCCCGCAACCGCAGCCGCCGCTACCCGCTGCTGCGCCCGCCGCCGCGCACAAAAGCATCCCTCGTGCCCCGGCACGGCGCCTCCCGACTACAGGCGATGCCGGGAGGGGAGCGAGAGGCTCGGGGGAACCCCGCGGCCGCGCCCCCGCGCCGTGCCCATGCAGGCTCGCACAATGCTCGGGTCCCCTCTGCAGCCTCTCCCCTGCTGGCTCCGCCGGGAAGCGGTGGCCGGGGCCGGAGCGCCTATGCCGCCAGCTCCGGCGCTGCTCCTGGCTCCAGTCCCGGCGCGGGGGCACCGGGACCGCCAGTCGGCGCGGGGAGCGGCGCAGCCCCGCCGGCTCCTCGGCGGGCAAGGGCGCTGCTGTCGCCCGCCTCGGAAGGGAAACAGCCGCAGCGGATCCTGCGGGAAGAGAGCGCTCACGGCCCGGCCGCTGGCGGTGGAACGGGAGCTGGCGCTGGAGCGGGCGGGGCTCCCGCCGGCCCCCCGAGCCGGGCGGGCGCGGGGGCGGCGCCATCTCGGCTCAGCGTCCGGCGCGGGGGCGGTGCCGTCCACGGCGGCCGCGGCGGGATCGGGCGCGGTGAGGGGTGGGAGAGGCTTGTGGGGGAGAAGCGGGAAGAAAAAGGGGGTTCTTCTAGGGAAGGAGAACGAATTTGGAGGAGCAGCTTTCCCGCAGGGGCAGCGCTGTCCTTCTCGCGGCGGCTCTGGCGGGAGCGGTCCATGGACACCCCCATAGGCGCACCAGCGGAGCTGCCTGCCGGCTCCCTCCCGGCTTCACTTGGGCTCAGTCACTAGGTTAAAACGCTAAAAATGCCCCTAGGGCTCTTTCTGTATGGCCTTCTGCCTAAAATATATCCCCGGGACGAAAATTACGCATCCCTGTCATTTCTCGAACACAGAAACTGTTTCACAAGGGCGCGTGATGATAGGTCACGGGATAATGGCTTCAAACTGAAAGATAAGGGGTGTAGATTAAGTATTAGGACGAAATTTTTTACTGTAAGGGTGGTGAGGCACTGGAACAGGTTGCCCGGAGAAGTTGTGGTTGCCCCATCCCTGGAAGTATTCAAGGCCAGGCTGGATGAGGCTTTGAGCCACCTGGTCCAGTGAAAGGTGCCCCTGCCCGTGACACAGGAGTTGGAACTAGGTCATCTTTAAGGTCTCTTCCAACCCAAACAATTCTGTGATTCTGTCATTCTATGATTTTCCTTTTGCATTTGTGCATGCCACTGATGCGTTCCGAGAAACCAAATAACCCCATTCGTACAGTCTAAACAAATGTACTGCAACCCATGGTTCATGACTTCCCCAGGGATCTTGTCAATGCTCCCTAGGTTGCTCAACTCAAATTAACTTTTGGTAGAAATTGCCAACAAATGCATTGAAATGGATGCAATCTCATTTTTTTTTACTTATATTCAACTATTACAGAATATGTTTTCTTGGCATAATGATTACGTAAAAGGCATTTACAACTACCTACAGGTTTTCATTTTTTTTAGGTCTCTTGCATTGGGAGGTTCCAGTTGTTATGCCATTACAGGTGGTCACAGTTTCTGCTCTTTTGCCCAATATTCTTTACCACACTTCTGAGGGATTTATTATTTTTCATTTTTTATGTTTTGAAATACCAATAAAATCAAGCACTGTCTTGCTATTATTACTGAGCTTTTTACAAAGTAGATCAAACAACTAGCTACAATATTCCTAAACACAACACCTGAAAAACATCGGTGAGTTTCACTTTTTATTTAAGTGATGCTTGGAAACATTCACAAATGTTTCACGATGCTTGGAAACATTCACAAGCAAAAAGAAGTGGTAAGCCATGGTGCTGGATTATCTCCTCCAGTGGTAAAATCAAGAAAAGGAACAGAATGAGGGGGGGATTTTGTTACAGTCAGGGAACGAATACACCTACTAAGATTAGATATGCAGGTCTTGCCTAGGAATCAACTTTCTAGACTGGTTTTGATATGCAGTTTCTCATCCTGTTTACAGGCCAAGTTACACAGACCAAGTTCCAACTCACTTGTGTAACTTGGCTCCAAAGTGCATTGGTCTTAGCTGCGAGGCTGTATTTTTTTCCAAATGGTACCACGCTACATGGGCCTTTGTAGAACAAGTCCCATTACTTAGTTCAAACCTCAGCTGAAGGTTATTTGGACTAACCTTTTTTAATTTGCTCAGAAGCAGACCACAAAAGCTCATGGAAATTTAGTCCCCCCCTTGTACACACCTTCTGTCTGCTCCCAGCTCTTAACTATTGCCTACTGACCACAGTACAGTGCTCAACTATGTGTTGAGGACTCCTGCTGACTAAAATGTAAAATATATATATGTGTGTGTGTGTGTGAATTTAATATACTAACTGTGTCTATAACTGCATTTAGGTTGGAGAATTCAGTACCAGGGTAAGCATTTTGTTGGTTTCAAGTTGTTTTGCTGGGTGGTAGGATATATCATGTGCAAGACTTGGTCTGACTTCTGAACTCTCTGGCTAGAGATGGGATAGAAGGAATGGAATTTTATACAGCCTCTGGTAAAGTAAAACTAAAAGGGAATTCTTCAGCTTTTACCAGGAAAATTCTCTCTCCTCATCAAAGGGAATTCCCACTACAGAAAGTTTTCAAAGTCTGTACAGCCACTGGTTTTTATGGAGCATATAAACATGAAATTGACTTCTGGCCTGTAAAACTAAACTACTTCTATATTAAGAGGCTGTTTACAGAGAGGTTACAGTTAGATCTATGTGTGTAACCGCCAAGGAAATGCCTGGTGACACCTCAAACATGGTCCTACAACTTGTGCTCTTTCTTTTTTGGTTCTCCTCAGATGTTGTGTGTATTTTTAATAAGCTCTGCAAGCCCCCATTAAGAATGGTTCATGGTGCTTCCATTTGTGTGTATGCTTTCCCTTTTCCTTGCAGCCTTATTTCCCCTAGGGAGTCGTCTGTAGTCGAACAGGGAGGATTTAAAAGACTTTCAAAGATGAGGAATAAAAACCCAGAACAATCCCATATGCAGCTGGATGACATTTGTTGTTACACACTAGAAATTTAGTGTGATTAATATGCAGTTCTGTATGGAACTGAGCTATGCATTCCCATTATCTTCTTCCAAAATAGAGTTGACAAATTAGTAGTTCACTTAGCAGCAAGCAATGTTACATGTATAAATGATACCTTGCTTATTAACATAAATCTCCAAACACCATAAAAATGTGATTACCATTCATTCTTGTGATATTCTATAAAAGTACATTTCCTATTTGAAGAGAATAGAGCTTCCAGTTTCATGTCCATCTAATTAATCAGTTCTCCCGCCTGTCTTTGGGGTTTTTTTTGCTTTATTGTGGTAAGCATAATGAATTCTTTGTTTAAATCTCTTCCTCCATCTATAAGACCTCCTGTGTGGTTTGGTTGGTTGGTTGATTTTTTGCTTTGAAACAAGCAAGACCTGTAAGAAATTTCTAAAAGGAAAGGAAGAAAACTTTGCCATCATATGCAGTGTCTTTTCTTCTTCTGTTACCTGAACTCCCTACCTTCCTGGTTGTAATCAGTGAAATTCAAGTCACTTAGCACATTTAATAGGATTGATAGGTGAAATTCAGTTCAGAATCAGAGTTTACACTGGATGGTTTTAGAAAAGCAATTATGTATCTGACCTTTGCATTTAGCCCATCGATTTCACCTTGAAAATGATAATGCCTTATGTTGCTGAAGAAATAAAAAAACCACCATAAGTATGGGGTCTGTTGAATCAAGATTTATTATATGAAAAACATTATTGGAATAACAAAATATTTACTTGCCACACTAAAACCACCAAATTTGAGTATTTAAACAACTAAATGTTTATTTGTAATGATTTGTTTTCAACCCTGAATGTTAAAATGCTTTTAAAATATTCATACATTAAAATATCTCAGCATCCCTGTGAGATGCTGTGCCCTACTTTATAGATATATAAAACGGGAAACCAAAAGTTTAAGCAACTCGACCAAGTAGCAGAGAAATATTTCAGCATAGGTGGCATAAGAAGAATCTTCAGTCCTCGGTGAGGTGGCAGTATGCCTAGATGGCCAGGAAGGCCAATGGCATCCTGGCTTATATAAGAAATAATAGGACCAAGACATTGATTGTCCCCCTGTACTTGGCACTGGTGAGCCCACACCTCAAATCCTGTGTTCAGTTTGGGCCCCTCACTACAAGAAAGATGTTGAGGTGCTGGAGCATGTCTGGAGAAGGACAACAGAGCTGGGGAAGGGACTGGAGCACAGGTGTGATGAGGAGCAGCTGAGGGAGCTGGGGGTGTTTAGCCTGGAGAAAAGGAGGCTCAGGATGGACATTATTGCTCTCTACAACGGCCTGAAAGGAGGTTGTAGCAAGATGGGGGTCAGTCCCTTCTTCCCATGTGATCTTCATGGCTGGGCTTCGTGAACAAAGATTTGGGAAGGCTCTATCCACATTTGTTACAGGCACGTTGGTGACTTTTGAGGCCAATACGAGACAGACACATCCGATTGCAAAAGGCACAGTAGAAAGACTCCTTAGATGGTGTATTCTGCAGAACACAGTTCTTTCTGCGTTGCCTTTTCTCCTCGAGAGTGATCCTGCGTGTGTTCTCAAAGGAGACAGCAGCGTTATAGATGGTGTGTCTCCAGGCCTCCCGATTTGAGGCCAGAGTAGACCAGTTATGATGATCAATATGGCCAAGGCTGAGATGTTGTTTCAGGGAGTCCTTGAATCTTTTCTTCGGGGCTCCTCTCTTGCAGCAGCCAGTGGCAAGTTCACCATAGAGCAAGATCTTAGGGAGGCGGTGGTCCTTCATCCTGGAGACGTGCCCTGCCCAACGCAGCTGTGTTCTCAGTAACATGACCTCAATACTTGTGATAGCTGCTTGTTCTAGAACAGTCCCATGTGATAGGACAAGAAGAAATGGCCTCAAGTTGCAGTTGCACTAGGAAAGGTTTAGATTGGATATTAAGAAAAAATTCTTCACGAAAATGGTGGTCAAGCATTGGAACAGGCTGCCTAGGGAAATGGTGGAATCACTATTCCTGGAGGTATTTAAAAGATGTGTAGATGTGGCACTTGGGGACATGCTTTAGTCTTTCTGCACTCCAGTAAAAATCAGTTCCTAACTGATCACCCACTCATATTGGATCAGAAATGTCCCATCAAATAAATTGAGTATGAATGTCTATGATATAAATAAATGCCCAACTCCCAATGCCTTTACTGTGGATTATATAAAGGTATTCATGTTCCTTTCTCATCAAATTCTCTAGGTGTTACAGAAAGTGAAACAGAAGTTTCCAAATCAAATCTTAAAAGCTCCACAGCTGAAAGCCTAAAGAAGAAGAGGCATTAGAAGGCCTACAAATGGTATGTGTTTGCTAATGAATCTACATTGCAAGCTAGTTGTGAATTTCGCTTTTTGCCAACAATTCAAGATGGCTACGTTGACTTGTATTACTCATTTAGGCTTTGCATATGGCGAATTCCAACTATCCAATACCACTGTAACTGAATAAAAATATATTAAACAAAAAATAATTTGAAGAGGAAAAAGACATGATTTATAGACAAAGAAATGCCTCTTTTACCCATCTATTTTTTTTCTAGATAATTTAATAAAGAAGTCATTGGAGTTTTTAAAACATATCTATTACATTTTTGCTGGTACTCCATCATCATTTTTGTATAATCATTAATAATTTTAATTCCTTCTGTTGCTCTTTCAATACAAGAGATCACAATTCTATATTTCCAATAGAAATGGCTGTCTGGATAGTTGCTGTAAGTCTGGTTGAACAATCTGTGATCAAGGGTTAAATGGATCATTTAATCTGTTGTCTTACTTAAAAGTATGATTAGTCAAATGTAGGATCTTAAAAAAAACCCTGAAGAATGATGTTATTTCCCATGTTAAATAACTTATGAAGAGAAAATTACAGTGAGTTTTTCAAAGATAACTGCCAAGAGTTATTTGAATTACCAATAGTTATAATGAATTACCAATATAATTAAAAAAATGAAGGCTTAATGTGCTTTCTGAGACAGCTACTTCAGCAAAGATGTCTAAAGTTCACTGCTGCTCCATACCTGACAAAATATGGAAACTAGAGATAAAAACAACAATGAAACAGTACATATTTTGAAACAAATGAACTGCTCAAGTAATTTCTGAAAAAATAGAATTTTATAATCTGATGGTTAAGGAACCAAAGCCAACTACATAGAATTCTCTCATCTACACTCCTATTCCTACATGTTTCTTCTCACCCCCCTGGGGCCGCTGCCCTTATTTGTGCTGGTACAAGTATCTGTACTAGAACGCTTCCATCAACGCTGTCTCCGTACAATCCTAAACATCCACTGGTCAGATTATGTGACCAATACATCGGTTCTAGAACAAGCAGCAGTCACAAGTATTGAGGCCATGTTGTTGAGAACACAGCTGCGCTGGGCAGGGCACGTCTGCAGGATGAAGGACCACCGCCTCCCTAAGATCCTGCTCTATGGTGAACTTGCCACTGGCTGCCACAAGAGAGGAGCCCCGAAGAGAAGATACAAGGACTCCCTGAAACAACATCTCAGCCTTGGCCATATTGATCATCATAACTGGTCTACTCTGGCCTCAAATCAGGAGGCCTGGAGACACACCATCTATAACGCTGCTGATGCCTTTGAGAACGCACGCAGGATCACTCTCGAGGAGAAAAGACAACGCAGAAAGAACTGTGTCTTGCAGAATTTACCACCTAAGGAGTCTTTCTGCTGTGCCTTTTGCAACCGGATGTGCCTATCTCGCATTGGCCTTTTTAGTCACCAACGTGCTTGTAACAAACGTGGGTAGAGCCCTTCCCAAATCTTTGTTCGTGAAGCCCAGCCATGATGATGACAAGTATCTGTGCAAACTTGATCTGGGAAAAGTTCTTGGTTGAATAATAACCCTCACCTCCAAAAATGGGATAGGGCAGGAAGCTAGGATAGCATATTTAGCTTGCTTGGAGAACAAAGCATTGTACAGTGTAGCTTTATGCCGCGAGCATCAACTTTTTAGGCCTATGGAGAAGTGTGCAAAAGAGCCACTGCAGAGAATAAAATGAGTAATAATCCTCTCTCTTGCTTTCTTCCAGTGTCACAATTGACATCACTGGCTTCAGGGACATTTTCATCCAAGGAATGATTTTTTGTAAAAAAAGGGAGAGTGTACAAATTACATCTTTTGATAATATTACCACGATGAAAAAAAAGGTGAGGTACTATATTACATCAGAGTAGTTAGTACAGGTGTTACAAGAAGGATAAACTTTTGAACTCACAAATCACTTTCACGTCCAAAAAGGTAACAATATATTTAGTACCATTTACAAACAATTTTGCTCTAAGCAAAATTACTTAAGTAAGTAATTCTGTTAATCAAAATTGAGATCAGAGTGGCGTATTAGCAAGAGAAAAGTAGCAGATTTACTAGCCTTGTGATACAGAGAGTAAAATAGATGATTGTTGCTTGTGGGAGGTAGAGGCATAACAAGAAACTGCCTAAAAGAAAAATATTAAGTGTAAAATACCTCCTGACTTTACATTGAATTTGTGAATTTTAATACCTAGAAGAAATAGAAATTTTATTTCTTAGGTTTACTTTCTGTAAGAATCTTGTAGCTCCCTTGAGGATTTTGTAAAGCGTAATTGATGCAGCAGAGAATGATGATGCTTTACAGAAATACCTTTAAGATTGGACAAGTAGAATGACATGTAGAAGTAAAAGTGTAAAGTCATGTATTTAAGGATTAATTTCTACTCCAAGATGGACTAGAAACTCATCACTTGAAAACAATAAAGGAGAAGAAAGGGGGGAATGAACTGTTGATCTGAAGTTTTGGCTAAGCTGGACGAAAAACAAATGTAGCCTTATACCTTCTTCTTTAACTGAAGACAGTAATTAATTAAAAAATGGTGCAGGGAGACTCCTTCTGAATAAGCAATTGCTGAATGTAACCTATATTCTTTTAAAACATAATAAATTTTAATTATTAAATAGTAAGCAAGCCATTACTTCTGATCTGTGTTGATAAGTCCAGGGTGAGCATGGTCCTGTTTGTGGATGCATGTCTTGCTTTCGAAGCCTGTGTGTGGCCCTTACCCATGTGGCTACTTGGCTGTGGAAGTCCTGGACCATGGTGATATTCCCAGTAATAGACTTCATAAAGTGTCTGAGCCTTGTTTTGTGCTGTATTAATATAGTGATGAAGATGATCAAGAAGCCTTGCAGAAATTGCCAATGAGAATTTTATAGATATATATATATCTGTCACCTAGCCAGCTACTGAGGAAGATAGAGTTGTATCCCCTTAGGGTGTTTTCACTCTTTTTGTGCTAATATATGCTCTGTGCCCATCACTAGAGACTTAGCACCCTAGTAACTTTTTTTAGAGAATTTTTGCATCTAAAGGTAAGTGTTGTTTTGGAGCTGAGAGATCCAACCCAATCCTGGCCTTCTAGGTTTGTGTGACTGCTTGAGTAAAAATGGTGTGAATATCTGTGTGTGTGTTGTCAGATTTACTGGAGAATGGGGTGCTGCTGTTTTGTACCTAATTAAAAGCAAAGGTTTTAGTTAACTTTAGCAAAGTTATTTTGTCTGTTCCTCAGCACAGTACAAGATAACGTTCAGTCAATAGAGTCGGCTCCTGTACAGAAACGAGAAAGCAGTCACTTGGCTTTCATTTGATGAGAACGTTGCTTTTATTTTTAAAAGGAAATCAGATAAAGTTTTGTGAAAATCTTTAATCTTCTCATGTTCTCTCTCTAGCAGTCATACTTTAGTTTGCATGTTTTGCTACTCCTTGTATCTTTGACAAGAAATCTATACATTTGACTGCTTGCTGCCAGCAAAACCATTTACATTAGCAGCAGAATGATGTCTCTCAACTACTACAGACACCATGGTCGAAGTTGTGTTGGAACTTTGCCAGACTGAACTTTTGGCCTTAATAAAATAATGAAATGCAGCTTTGGGGCTTAATTATTGGCAGTAACGTTGTGAATATCACATTTCTTTTCTACAGATGACTTCGATTGAGAATATTGCTACCTTATGATTTCTTATTTTACTGTTTCCTTTAGGGCCACTCATCCTGACAGGTCTGGAAAGAGGAAAAGAATCTGATTTGTCAATAAATAAAGAAACCATGAGAGGTAAGTGGAGGGAATCTGGTGAGTTTCTCAGGTCAGGGTAGCGTGTATGGACTAGAAAGTGAAAAATTTACTGCAAAACCAGTAATGTTTCTTCCAGAAGGGGTAGTGGTCTGTACTGCATTGTAAAGAGCTGGAAATAAGATAGAATTAAAGTATTTGCATAGAGATTATCGAGTGCAGCCAAGTATTATTCTTGAGAAGGCAGAACCTTAAGCAAAATAATTTCAAGGTCAGTTGTGACTCAATTTGGAATAATTCTTAGTTATACATCTAGCTGAGAGGCAGAGGAGATGAAGGGGCACAGAAGGTAACTGCTGACAAAAGAGCGACTATGGCTATAGGCACAAAGTAACCTTGGGCTGTTCCAGAGTTTTCAATATATTTGCTGAGCCTGAGTTTGGAACAGAAGTAATAGTCTTGATACTTCTTTTTTTTTTTTTTTCTTGTAGGAAAGTCAGATGCAAGGTTCTAATTAGAAATCAAGCCTTCTCAGAGAACTTCAGGAGTCTGAATCCCGCTTTTATGATGAACTTCCTCAAATCTCAGAGATGGGAGATTTTAAATGCAATATAACCCTTTGGTTCTGTAGAAGTAAGGAGAAGCAAACCGTTCTCCAAGTACTCAGTTTTACCTCTTCCTTGTTTCTTACCATAAAGACAATGGACCAAGTGCCACATGTATGCTAAAAGGACTTATGGTCCTAAACCCACAGAGGTTACAGTCCCAAGTTCTTATCTTGAATGGTTGTGCCTGCAAATGGTAATTCACTGACTTAAAACCTGACCCATGTGTTTGCAGAACAGGAACCAAAATACTACTGACAAACACAAGAGTTGCAATGAAATGTCCTGGGAAGGGTTTTTTTTCCTTACCATTAAACGTTTCATAATTTTTTTCTTTATTTTTTACCAAGATGAGAGCATTTTTCAATCCTAAATTCTTCTTCTGCCAAACACAGAAAAAACCCCTAAATGACTGGAGTCAGTCATTCACTGCTACTCAGTTACTTACACACAGGTGTTCTACATCTTTGTCCCTCAGTGATCTAAAAGTCACTGCACATAGGCTATTGTGGACAAGTCAGTGGTGAATTTTAGTGGCGAAAAAAATCTATGGAAAAATTCTTTCTAGGAACTTCTACTCTTTTCTGGTAGAGACCTCTTAGGAAATATAATAGTTCTTACAGGTCTTTATAAAAAGAGGAAGTTTTTATATAGATACATATACACACATACATATAGTTTCGGGGTGTGTTCTACTTTACAGAACAGAAAACTGTAACACCTGGAAACTAGTAGTTAGCCAGAGCAGATAACAGGGAATTAGGCTATTAATCTGCTTAACAAGGACATATGTCAAAGTAGTTTAAATTGTGCTAGGTTGCACTTCTATTTTTATATAAGAGGGATTCAAATTTAGCAAGACATGCAGGGGGAAAAAGGCGTATAAGCATGCTAGTTCATTCAAAGTTCAAATCCAAGTGCAGTAACTGTCCTATTTCAGTTTTTCAGCCATTAATATACAGGCTTATGGTCCAATAAGAGCTGGGTTTACACCAGCTGGGATGGTATATACTTGATTGATGTGCAAAGCTCCATATTTCCACAGATATTCCATCTGTTCTCTTGTCTGATCCTTTACTGGCAAATTAGTCATAAGAGTCTGCTGTTATCATACTATGAAAATACCTCTAGTTTGATTTTTTTTTATTTAATTTTTTTAATTGGACACTTGTGTTTCCCCCTGACACTTTTATTCTAAATGGCAAGAAAAGCACTTTGCTGTGAATTTGGTGGAACTTTTGCCACTCTACTGCTCATTCAGTGTAGAGCATGAAATTCTCAGAGACTTAGTAACCTCTGAAATTTTAGGTCAGTGTATTTTGGCCTGGGAACATCTCTTGCAAGGAAATGCTGTGGATTAAACAAGGAGAATAGAGGGAGGGTTAATATTTAGTTTGTAAAGAATTTCTTATGTGAAAACTTTTGCAGCTAAAAGGTCATAAATCTTGATCTTACTTGTTCTCTTACTTGTTTGATACTGGATTTATTTTATCCTCCCTCCCCCTGGAAGACTTTTATATTTGTGGAAAAAAAGGTGGCACCAACTTTGCATTAGGTTGCAGATACCTGGGTAGGTAATGAAAGAGCAGCAGAGTGGTGATAGTTTCACAATAGCAGAAATACTCTCCATGTCTTGCTCTTTTGTCTAAACACATGATTTAAACTGGACAGTGAAAATATATGCAGCTAAATGAAAATATACCCTCTTGAGGGTATCCTGTATATATTTAATCTTGATAGCAAGAGCAACAGCAGCAAGGTGAATGAAAACTGAGGGGGTGTGAGGAGTTTATGCTATAGTTGACAGCACATGCTGGTTTGTATTCACAACTATTGTTCACTGCAATACTTCTATCAAAGTAGCACAGACATTGTAATGTGCACGGTCATGCCTTTATTTTACTGCATAGGAATACACAGAATGGTATTTGATTGTGACAATTTGTCACCAGTTTGATTTAAGCTGTTTAGTGGGTCTTGGGTAAATATCCAGCTGGCTGTAGGGGATAACCCAACCAATTTAGCAGCCCTTTGCACCAGAGATGAACTTGTAATATTTTTTTCTAGAAGATTTGTGGGCCAGTGCATTCACAGAAGAGTCAACCCCAAATGACCTTCTTCAATCTGGCTGTCAATTGGTAGCCTGTAAAACTAATTATTACAGCTTGTTAAATACTGCTCAGCCAGTTGCTGAATGATGAGGGTTTTGTCTGGATGTCAGTAAATACCATCTTCTGAGAGTTGTGTTTGTAGTTAGGAAAAGATTGTTTGTGCTGATATTTGGTTTGGTCAGGTTATTCTGCCATCTTGTGGGTAATTCGAGGATATGGAGAATTTTTGTTGTTTTAGAAATAGAAGTTTTATACCTTTGTAGGTTAATAGTTGCAGGAGGAAAATTTTGGTATTGTTATAAGCAATGAGAAAATGTGGAAAGAATTTCCACATTTCCAAATGCATTTTATATTTGTTTGGTTTTTTTTGCTAATTGTCTGTTTGTATCCTATTACATTGTCTATTTGTTTCTATCTTTTTCATTGCTTTTCTTTATTTAAGGAATGTATTTGCTACCTATGGTGTTTAACAGTAAAAAGGGGGAAACTTAAATCACATTTTCTGGAGTACAATTCTTTGTCTATTAGGAAACAAACCAACAAACAACCACATCAGTAAAACAGAACATACAAACAAAACCCCCCTATTGTCTTAAAGATTCCTTTTAGAACAGACTGCTTGGCTGTTTTATCTTTGTGTCGCTATTACTGGGAAGTACTGTGTGACCTATTGCTGTCCTGCTGATCTTCAGTTCTGTTGTGGATTAGGATGTTTCACACCAAATTATTGGACATTTCTTAACTGAGAGCTAGGAACAGTTGCAAGAAGAGGTTATGCATAACTATAGAATTTTCTAGCTCCCAAATTGCATCTAGCTGGCCATATGTCAGTCTAGGTGCTGTTATGTACTGAAAATAAATAGGACTTTTTTTTTTGGGTTGTGTACATCTGATTGTCAAAAAAAAAAAGTATGGGGAAAGGCTATTTGATGATGGAGATATCACCATAGCACATTAATATTGATTAATCTAGACCCATCTCTTTGTGCAATTCAAAAAAATAATTTTTGGAAGGTGCCAGGTGACTTCTTGTTGCCTTATTGCTGTTGCACAAGTATGCTGGCTCTATCTGAGAGTAAAGAGTTGTAAGAAGTGATATGCAAACATATCATAAAATCATAGAACAGTTTAGATTAGAAGGGATCTTTAAAGGTCATCCAGTCCAACTCTGTCTGCAATGAGGAGGGACATCTTCAACTAGATTGAAAAAACATTATTATGTTTATATTTATATTTTTATATTTATATATATAAGTATGTATAAAAATTATGTTTAGTACCCAAAATGGTTAACTTTAAAGCAGGCCAGAAAGAAGAGGGGAGGAAGAAAGGGCATCTTTACTTTAAAAAAGGGAATTAGTACAGCAATATTGTAGTGAGACTTGTAGACCTAGAACTCCTATTTTCTTTTTCCTAGACCCCTTTCATCTTCACACTTTTACTTAGTGTGAACTATTTACAATGGCAGCAGACCAACAGGAAAATATAACAGGTGAGTTGGTCCTTATTTAGAAATCGTATCACAGCAAGTATAAGGTTGAAGTGGTATCAGAGTACATTCTAGCCCCCAGAATATGAAATACCTGGGATGAAGTAAGGTTGCAAGTAAAAAATATGAGTGTAAACCTTTCAGTCAGTTGAAAATAGTTTTGCCTTAGTCATGGTTTATTCCTGCTGTTTCTAATTGAATATTATTCTCTTTTTGGAAAAAACTCTCATCACCACCATCACCACCAAAACCCAACCCAAACCAAAAACAAACAAAGAAGGGAAAAACCCAAACACAACCAGAAAAACCCACAAAGCAAAACCCAAACCCCAAACAAAAATAGAAAAACCCACACCAAACCCCAACCTAGCGTGTATCACTGTGTTCAATTTTGGTCACAGTTCTTGAAGGGAAAGCTTGCAGCCTAGCTCAATCCAGTCAGTCAAATCAGCCCAGCACTGAACAACTGCACTGGATATTCTGGGTATGTCCTATCCATTCCCTCTATCCAGCCCCTACAGAGGAACTGGTTTGGGGAAGGGGGCCCTCATTTAGCTATGAGTATCCACAGAGAGATTTCATAGCTACTACAGACAACTTGTTTCCATAATACTTTTTCCCGTTAATTTACCTATGTGTGTGAACTCAAAGAATAAAAGAATTGAAAGCTATTCTTTGGAAGAGTAAAAAAGCAGCTCCGAGGTCCATTTTAAAGAAAAAAACCCCAAATCTTCCCACCTTTCTCTGACAGCTGAAGCTAGCAAACATGCAGACTCAACCCTGGAGGCTATTGCTCCTTAGGCTGTACTTCTCTGATGGAAAACAGAGGGAAAATAAATATTAAAAAAACAAAACAAAACAAATAATGCACAAGGGATGTTAATAGTTTCTTTTGAATGAGGCCCTAGAGGCTGTGGCACAAGGTAGCTACTTCTGCTAATGGGCCAGAGGTATGTTGCTGGAGAAACATCCTTATGCGTGCCTTTTCTCAGAGGAAAGAGAGCTTGTGTTTGGCTTTTTAATTAAAAAAAAAATACAAAGTCTCTGATAGGTTCTATCAGTTTTACAGCTGATGCTTAAGGCTGCTACCTCCCCACCTGTCTTCGTCTCTGAACAAGGTTACTTCTCCTGTCAGCTCTTCAGCTCCCTCTGTTTCCTACTTGAGGTAATAATTGCAGTATTGTTTGCTGGGGAATTAATCAGCTACAGCACGCTCTGAACTGTGACATTTGAGTTGTTTTATAGATTTGCTTTTCTTGATTGTTAAGGGGGAAGAGCTTTTTGTGGAAGGGAAGACTGTAGGTGATGGTAACTGTTTAATCAAGGGCACCCAGGTCCAGAAGATCATACATTGAAAGACAGGATGACCTGTAATTGATTTTTAGCTGTAAATGGGGAAATACGTCACAGATTCCAAACTACTTGTTCATCTCATCAAAAGTGGGGTTTGTAGTGCTGTGGTTAAATAGTTTGTTGAACCTCTAAGAGAAAACAAATCTGGAAGAAACAAGAACTACTGAAATAGAAGGTTAAAAATAAGCAAAGAACCAAAAGAATTAAAGAAATCACTATCTGGTTCTTAGGTAACAATGCTGTAGTTGACATGCAAAAATGACAATTTACACTAACTTTTCTAAAAGTCAATTTGGAAGAAATTTAAAAATAAAATAATTAGAATAACTTTAAAAGATTGTAGTTGCAAGGTTTTGAGAATCTCTTACAAATGTTGCAGAGAAATCAGCAATAAAACAAGAATGTTGATGCTAGAACATGGTCAGCAAAACCCCTGACATTAGACAAATCAGAAGATGTGTTGTCCTTGCTAAAAGGCAAATGAGATAATTATGAAAACACAGCTACATCAACAAAAATCAGAATACTTGCAAGGTGACTTCTCAGAGTTGATTTTAAAGAAAAAAAAGTTGTAATTTTGCAGAACTGGAGTAAAAACTACTTAGAGAAATGTGGTATCGAAAAGTATCACTGGTATCAGGCAGCCATTGCAAAATATTTGTTGAATTAAAAGTAACTTTATTTTTTAATTTTTATAATGCTGTTGGTCACCTAACAAGATATCAAGCTCTTTTTTCAGCCCTTTCAGTCAAGATCCCTACTACAAGGTCATCTGCCTCTTTGCTTTAAAATATATCCATTCTATCCTACTTCTCAGTTAATATTTTCTATGCTCTCAAGTTGTTTTCCCAGAGTAGAGAAACCAAACCATTTTGACAGAATTCAAACCAAACTACAGCACAAGAGAGATCTCCTTGCAGTACTAGTGGAGAAATTTAGAATTCCTTTACGAAACTGGTATTTTAAAACTAGAGTTGTGATCTCTATTGCTGCACATATCTTGTTCTTTACAAATAAGATACCCTTATTTACCTTTGGTGAAGTCAAAGGGTGCTTTATTCTAACTGAGAGCAGCTGGGTGTTCTGAGCTGTGGAGAATGATGATGAGCTATGTGCTAGCACTTAATTAAAACTTGTAATGATATTCAGTTGTCATTCCACAGATACTACGATGCTCAAATTCTAAGGAGTAGATTTTGCTATTTAAAATTCTGTGTCCTACTAGGTTCCTGATTAAGCACTGACTATGTGCAGAGCCTACCAATATGTTGTATCTGGGGCTTGAAGTCTGCATAGTGATTTGTATGTTCAGGCTGGAAAGCTGAAAGATGCAAAGGAAACAAGAGTCATGGAACATTACTAGATTGGAAGAGATGTCTGGAGGTCGTTTTGTCCAACCTCCCATTCAGAGCAGGACCAACTTCAAAGTTAGATCCAACTTTGCCAAGATCATGGAGCAGAGAATTATACCAGAATTAGAGCCAGAATTAGAGTTCCGACATTTCTTTGATGTAAAGCTGCTAAACAAGCCAGCAGAATCTGTTTCACATACTCCATCTGTGAAGCAGAGATAATTCTTGCATAAATATTCCTAAAGTATTTTGATCTGTCTGGGTAAAATCAAAGCTCTAGACAGGAGGGGTTCACTTCAGTGCTGGGGTAAAATGATTTTTTTCTCCTTTTCTTGAAGATGTGGAGGAAGTAAAAAAGAAATCTTACATTTCCTGTCGGTATCAATGAGGATTACAAGTGCTACTAATATCCTTTTCATTGAGGAAATAGGTCAGATTCCTATTTTCTAGCATTCTCACTATTTAGAAGTTGAATTGCCCATTTTGCTGTTCAGCCACTTAAGGGAGATGCTGTATTTGTGACTACAAAACTTCTGAAAGCTTCTATTTTTGTCCAGTTCATGAAGCAATTCACATCAGGGACAATAGAAATATGATCTCATGACATTATTTATATGAACTGAAACAAAAAGGTCATATTCTAAGTGTGCTGGTTTTATCTTCTCCCTGAACATTGATGAATAAATAAGGAGACTTGAATAGTGCATGTTAGTGACAATGGTTGAACAGGCAGCTGAATCCAAACAAGAATCCCCCTGCTGAAAGCAGAGTTGCATGTACTGACTGGGCAAAAGGTTACAGTTCCCTGGGTTTCTATAGCATTGCTAGCACTAGATTTAAGTCTTCAACATATGGCAATTAATTCTCAAAACACTCTCTGAAAGCCTTCTTGTTTTACTAGCCTACAGTCCTGTTACAAAGGTGAAGAAATCCATAGAATGTAATTTACCTAAGATCATGTCAATCAATGACAAGAATAGAGAAATATTGTTATACCCTCTGTCGCCTTCTAACTTGCATTTCAGTCTTCTAGTGTAGATTGGCAGAGCAAGGCCAGGGCATATCAACTGGCACAGAATACGGGGGCGAGGTCTGAAATACAGGGACTGTGGCAGATGTGAGGGATTTTGAATAGCAGAGTAAGGGCAAAGGATGACAGAAGGATTGATGAGGAAACATCTTTAATATATGCTACTCACCTTTTTAGTTTTCTCAGCAACAATTTTGGCATGATTTGGCCATAATAATTCGGAGTTCAGAAAGGTAGTTTAAACTTCCTGTCACGATTTTTCAGTTTTT